ATTATATATATTCGACAACCAATTGACTGTCGAATAAAACCATATATTCGACAGAATAATTGTCAAATGCATTTTCTGTCGGTTATGCACTAAAAAATCGATTATTATCGACAATCAATCTTATTCGATAGCAATGGTGTCGAATATGGTTTTTTATTCGACAGCTACTTGACTATCGAATATGTTTTTGTCGATTTTGCCTAGTTTTCCAGTAGTGAAAAAACTAAAATATCTTAGTTTTTTAAATATCAATGAGACTATTTTAATTAGTTTTTTTTAAGTATTATTAAAATGATATGATTTTAAATGTTTTTTCACCTAATTTTTTTTTACAAATCTAATTAATGAACACTAACTTCTTAATAAAATCAGTTTGTATTGATCCCCGCCTCAATTTTTGCACGTTGCTACAATTAAAAACTGGCTTCAACCTTTATATGTACTGAAGGCTTCAAATTCAGATGTTGAAGTAGATGGGGTGGAGCATCTAAGAGTAAAATTCTAAATTGGAAATCTTAAATTAAGATTCAAGTTGGAGGATAAGAGATTTGAAAAAAAGAAAAAAGTTTTTTTTTTTTTTTTGTATAATTCATCATAAAATATATGTAAAAAAAACAATTTAAATGCTAAAGTATACCAAGGATTTGAAAATAAAAGATTATTTTCTATTATAAATCATATTATTAACATATAAAAAAAAATTTTGATGTGTGACTCGTGTAGTCATTATATAGGTTTTTCACTTATACCACTAGATTCGAGTCTCTTTGTCTCCATTTCCCTTTCCCCTCCCCCTTAACCCCCAATTCCCTTTGTACAAAAAGAAACTATAAAAAAAAAAGAGTAAAATAATGATCAAATTGATTAATTTTCCTTTTTATGTCTAAGATATCAGAACAAAATAAAATAAAAAAATCAATTAAATTATTCATCAAAGTGGAATGATTAATTAGGAGCTAAGTAACTTCGTGATGTATATTATTATCCTTATTTTAATGGCTATACATGTAGATAACCGTTGATAAAAAGTTGCAAAGTCTCGAGAAGAAAAGAGCGAAAAAGCGTCAAACTACTGTCCTGAAGAACACATGTCTCGCACTGTTCTGATATTCAGAAGGAACATGCACTGTACCTCCCCGCATCTAGTCTTCATTTGTGTGGAATGTTGCGTTTCTGCCTATAAATAACCAAAAAAAAAAAAGGGGAAGGAAAGACGGAAAGAAATGCCATGTTGTTTCCAGGAAGAAGAAATGTTGGGTTTTGTTTATTTAAACAGAGCCTTTTTCTGTCTTTACGAAGGAAAAAGATCTGAAAAACAGAAGCTTTTTAGTTTGTTAATTCCAAAAGCAACATGGGTTCCTACTTAAAGTTGATTCCCTTCCCTCGGCAATTGGTAAAGCCTTTTTTAGCAAGTGGGAATCATTTAATTTAAAAAAACAAGGAAAATTTAGCTAATCACCTTCCTAAAATTTTATTCTAATCTCCTGTTAGATTTCTAGCACCATTTTAAACTTTTTTCTTTTTTCTTTTTTAGCTATTGGTTGGGATAATAATATCACTCCTAGATGTCTATTTCACGTGCTAAAAAGAGTTTGGTGAAATTGTTACATACTAATTTAAAAAATTTAATTTGGAGCAAGGTTAAAAGTTTAAATTTTCATACTAACAAACAACTAAATTTATAAATAATAAAAAAATATCTATTTCAAATACTAAGTATTAATTGACACCAAAAAAAAAAAAAAAACTCTCTTTAAAAGAAGTCCAGTTACTAACATGTTAGAAACTAATAGGGAAAAAAATGAAGGGAAGAAGTGAAGTTGTACTCATCTGGCTTACCTTTTCTTGCTCCCATTCTTTTTTCTATTATTAAATCTTGTATTTTTGCTCTTTTTATTTTTTTATTCTTGCTCCAGTCTTAAAATAATATATATTTTTTATTTAAAATGTCTCAAAATAATAGACTTTTTTATATTTGTAAAAAAGAAAATATATATTTTTATTTTAACTTTATAATTATCCCTAAACTTTAATTGTTTATTCTATTAGAAAACTTTTTTTTTTCAACTTTTATCTCTTTTCATAAGTATAAAAATAGATAAAAATAAAAATTATAGTTAACCTTTAACTCGAAGATAAAATAAAAAAATTCTAAAAATTTTTATTATGTTTCTATCTTATTATTTTTTATTAATTACAATATAATTTTTAAATAACTACCCATTTACAAAAGATGAGTATCTTATTGCTTTTTATGCATCATAGTAACAGTGACGGAACCAGGTGACTTTCGTGTATGGCCTAATTTTTTCTAATCCTGACCTTGGGCTTTGAGGTCTTCGGTCTTTACCTCTTTTTTTTTTTTTTTTTCCCACCCCAAGAGTTTAAAGTAAGGCCCGTGGAGGACCTTGGGCTCAAATGGCTCCATGGCAGCCTAGGTAATTATCGACTAGTCCTTGGGAGGACATGATTATAAGCACTACTAATTTTATTAAAATCAATGAAATTGTAAAATTTTTATTTTAATTTAATTGTTAAAAAGAATTAATAATTAGTAAAATAATTAATATTTATTATTTAATAAATTAAAATTAATTTAAATTAAATATGTTTGAATATTATAATTAATTATTTTAAAAATTTATAACTGATAAAATTATAGATAAAATTAGTAAATTAACAAAATCTAAGGGTGGCCATTAACTTAGGCATTGGAAGAACCAGTCAATAAACTTGTTGTTAGGATCAATGTTTGCGTGTTTTTTCTTTTCTTTGGCAATGTCAATGTTTGCGTGTTGAAAGTTGGGAAGGAATGGCTTAAATTGAATCCCATTTTTTCTGTAGAACTTTGAAATATTAGAAGAAAGAAACTTGGAGCTCTAAAGCATGGAAAAATTAATATATAAAAGAACCAATGGCCAAGAAGGGTGCTCACGCCCCTGCTTTTGTTATCCTGTATATTTGTCCTGCAGATGTTGAACTTTTATGTTTAGCTGATGCTGTTGGGGTTGGTT